CTCTCTACTTATCATGAAAGAATGAAAATACTCCATAAAACTGAGTATAGATGAAGATGTCATGAGTTCATTAATCAAATTAAGATTGATATATATATGCCTCAAGTGGCTGAATGGTTAATGCGGCCGCCTGGGTAGCGCCTTGGCGTGGGAAACCAAGGCGCGTGGGTTCGAAACCCGCAGGGGATACATTAAATCGGGAACTCAAGCACCTCAGGTTTCTAATAAATACAGAGGTGTACAAATCACTCCAATGAATCGCTCTATGTTCCTGGGCTGGGAAGTTATTATCGCATGTATTTAATTGTCACTTCTTTGTATTTTCCTATATTCTTGTTATCTTGGTGTGGTCTCAACACCTGTATTTCCTCCTGTATAACCAACACTTGACCTGTATTTAACATCACGCAAGGACTCATCATAAGCTCCGCTTGCATATGAGTATATTGGAAGAATAATAATAATAATAATAATAAGATTGATATATTAATGAATAATTGAAAGATTATGTGAAACAGAAGTTTTATTCATGAATGAAAGCATGTTAATCAGTGTTACAAACATCTGATAATATCATGAAATATCTTAATATTCTGTTTCAAGACACTGCTATGTAACAGAAAGTATTAGATTGATTACAGAGTGTCTGACAGACAAACACTTCTCTTACAATATTTATCTCTGACTTCAACATCAAGATTCTAGAAGCAGATAATCAATCTTGAGAGAATCAAATAAAGATTAGCATGCTTAAGAAGACATTAACTTTCAAACTCTTACAGACTCTTATAAGCATAGACAAAGACCAGACTTATAAAGGCTTCTGCACACAGCTTCAGATAATGAATGACTGTCTTATCAAGCTCAAGAATATACAGAATAGTGACAGAAGATATTACATCTCAGTGACTTATATATCTGCACTAAGAAATAACAATAATGTAGATATCATGAATTGAATAGACTTGAATATCTATATATAAGCAAGGGTCTCTATCATCTGAACAGGCTTCTGAGTTCCTGAGATCACTCTCAAAGAAGTCACTGATCAATGTTAATATGAAGTATACATCAACTGTAACTGATCAGAACACATTGCTTTCAACTGCTGATCAATGTATGTGTCTTCATACTTGAGAGAAAGATCAGTGTCTTCTCATTTAAAGAATGAATCAGTGTCTGTTCATGTCAATCATATTACATTAGAGAGAGATTCAGAAGATAACTATGAAAATGCTCTGATGAAACAGGAAAAAGATTAGCTTCTGTTCAAATTTACAAACAGAAGCTTGAAGAGGTCAGATAACAATAATTTGAAGAGAAGATGATAATAAATGTGATTCTTATATCTACTATGATTGATAATATGTATAATATGAAAGCCATGATAGACAGCAGTCTATATCACTATATAATGATAAAATCTTCAGTCATAAGATATTATAACCTTCAGTGTATCTCTTTATCAAAATCTCAACTTCTTGCAGAATTTAATGATTCAAAAGACATTTATATCTATTACATAGTGAAGCTGATCATAGATGTGAAAGAATATCAATATGAAGATACCTATGTATATGAAGTTGATAATCTTGATTATAATCTTATATTAGAACTTGTCTGACTATCTGAACAGAGTATCTTATTAAATACTTAAAACAGAAGCTTGATATTCTCTAACAATGATAGAATTCACAAAGATGATATTCACAAGACTATTGATCTGACACAGATCTCTGTTAATGTCTATAAAATGCTCAGAAAAAGAAGTTGCTGAAAGAATCACTGATAGCAGAACTATATATTAATCTATTTCATCAGTCTGATCAATATTAAAAAGACTCTAGAAAAATTATTCTGTATTATAAT